TATGTACTCTCGTAAAGCCGGAATGTTGACAATAGCTCACGTGGTGTTGAAAACGTTCTGCTGTGACTACATTTAATAATGAGCTTAAGTACAATATTTTCTGATGTTTTCTTTACGGTTTCTGGCGTATGATTGAACCTGCAGCCTTCAGCCTGTTTTACGCTCGGTTTTTTTTTTAATTTTTATTTTATTTTGACAGCTCTTCTCTTTTCAATTGTTCATCAAATTGCCAATAAATATATATTTAGGATTATTCAAATGAAAACAATTTTTTTCAACCGCAATTTTTCCGTGTAGATCATTTCGTCACCTGTTATCGCCCACAAGTCAAAACATGATATTTGGTTCTATTTATGATCGCAACTGATTTTATTACATTTCTACAAAGGATGAGTCAATGCTGGAGCGTTAGACGCCGTTCGTGTTGACGAGCATGATTACAATCGATTATTTTATGTGCATATGATACAGAGGCCAAAAAGGGTAATTAACATCAACATTAACGAATAGAAAGTAGGCACTCAATGTTTGAAAGAGGACCCTACTTATTGAATGCCATTTAGGCATAATTTAGAGGGATGTCTTGTAACTTCTGTCTATGTCTTAATTAAGCAGTAGTGATACTCAACGAAGCGTAGCCTTCAGACAATAAAATCACTCGTAAAAGCCATTCTAACCATCGAAAAAGTGAAATCTACACGTTGTGCTTTTTTTTATGAAATTAGCGTAACATAGTGAGCTAAAGTCACCATCAAATATTGGTGCTACTCGGGATTAGGTTTGTGGCAGTCATTGTTTTTGCTCGCTAGGCTCTTTAGTTCAAGTACGTTGTAGAAGCGTTGACGCAAAATATCAACAACAAAATTATGTTTCTTAAATTCTAGCCTCCAATGTTACGTCTTGGTGACATTTCAGTCAATATAAATCGCCACCATTTGGTCTTGGCAAGTTGCTGAAATCTTACCTAGAAAGCAAACACTCCGAAAGAAGCACTTTGGAGGTTTTTTGACATGTTTCTCAATCTGTATTTGCATATCACGATTGGTCAATTTACGTTCTGTTTCCCTCGTGAGACGTTGCACGTACGCTTGGCTTATAGGAACAGAGGCCATTTACTCCCTGTAAAACAGGAATGTAGATCAGCTAAATGATCTATGAATTGAAATTATCAATCACTCAGCGACTCCTACCTATGTAGGATTTTATTATCTACCTTTTCAGGTTGCTGCTTTCAGTGTTTCGTTTGCCGTCCGCAGGTTTCTCGAGGTTCTCGTTGAAAAAGGTATTTGTTGAATGGCCAGCAGTCACCTCTTTACTTCACAAAAAGAGCGTTTGAAATAACAGCGAACGTAAGCTAATCTGATGAGACTGAATCCTGGTATACAAAGAGAAGCCGTACCTACATTTCGCACGGACTTCTCTGCAGAGATAATGTTTCAATTTCTGTTATTCGAGAGATCAAGCGTCTGTTTTGAGGCACACCGTAGGACGTCAGCAGATCGCCTGAAAGGAAAATATTTATGAATTCTGTTACCGCTGTTTTCTTTGGCGTAGTTTTTGAAGAATAGTGAACCCTCTCGCTGTGCTAGCTGCCAAAATGTTTTCAAAGTGACCTCGGCGAACGAGCTTGTTACAACCTTTTGTCGAAGTAGTGGCATGACGATCGTTATTCAAATTATCTTGACATCAAAGAGGATGAATTATTGAAAATATCTAACTAGCTAATTGACAATAGATTATTTTCGGTATCAAAGTGTATGTAAATCCCTTCCTAGGAAAATGTGGAAAAAAAAACTGGCGATGGTTGGAGCTTTTTTCCACCAAAAATTTAACAAAATTGACCGCTTTAGAATTTATTTTTGATGGAAGGGTTGCGAGAGGTGCCCTACTTCAGGGGGTCGTAACGAGGTATGTGAAATTAGGGAACAAAGGAGAAGGGGGAGGGAGGGTTTAGGGACTGGAAGCCTGGGATCGGGTATTAAAGCCATGGTATCAGGGAAGGGTAGAAGGGAACGGGGAATGGTACGGCTACAGATAGGCCAGATACGACCGGAAGCAGGAGCCCATTACTTATATGAGCTTCTGCCGGAAGCTGACTATTGTGCTTACTATCTGGCGTGGCATTACCATCAATCGTCCGATTGTGTATGACTCAAATTAAGTTTTTTCAGGTGTCATCGCATCTCTCATCGGTTGAGATCGCTGGTGATTTCGGTTTGCGCTCACATCGCGTCATCTGTGCAGTCTTCTGCCATCGTTCCTTTTGGCATCGGGGCATTGTCTCTGTCCAAGGGGAAAACGTGAAAAAGGGAACGAAAGAACAGTGATTGTTGCTATCTGAAGTTCCTCTTGACCTTCGTTGAGTTGATTTGTGTCAATTGCTGCTTTGCTTGGCAATCCCTTAACAAGATTTATCGATGTTGCTTTAAAAACTTATTTTCTGCTCTCTAGCTAAAGAAATCGTCCTAGTGTAATTTTCCGGGAAAAAAAAAAAGCAAAAAATCTTAAATGTAATGCGAGATACGGCTGAAAGAGTATTTTGGGGCAGCTTGTACCATGTAGTGAAAGGTGTAATAATCCGGTGGTCTCCGGCAGAGTTTTGATGTATTTTTCGCGGACTTTCGAGCGGGATCTCGATTTGCATTTTTCGTTTATCCAGCACGTATTGCACCGCAAAGAAGAGGTGGATTTTTCATATTTCCCACAACATTAAGAAACAAAAGTCTTTATAAAACGGTCAAAAATAAAAGTCGCCTTGTGGCAAATCTAAGAGAAAGCCCGATCCAGAGAAGTCGTTTTTGATGAAGCGAAAAAGTCTGACCTTGCTCTTTCCTTTACCGATTAAAAATTAAAAAAGAATAAATGGCTCGACAGTATTCGTGGGCTGGCCGATCATGTTCTAACTAACTTGACGCGAGGTTTTGACCTATTGGGGGGTCAGGCCTAATTATTCTTGTTGAGGTAAGTGTTCTATGTTTTTGTCTCCCAAACGCCCACCAGTCTCCTCGATCACGAGAATACTGAAGTTTCGGATATGTAGAGATAGCTAGAGTGAATAAGATTTTAAACTCCTTTTAACCGTGGGATTGTTTACCCAAAATTGGGCGTTCTGTTAGCAAACTAGGCGCGCGAAGAACCAGACGCGGTTGAAGCTCGAAGCGAAGACGTTGACATTCGTCCCATCTTTTCACCAATTGCCTTGAACAGGCCACTTTCCTAATCCAAGAAGTTCAGTTTGATTTTCTAGCCGGTTTCCTAGCACTCTGCGATAGCAAGCTGGTCAATCAAACAAACCTCAAAGCTATTAATCAAAGGGCTCTGAGAGCCAGCTCATTCATGTAATGGATAATTTTTATTGTATCTGTTATTGCTAGTCATGAAAATTATTTGGGGTGACCTCCCATTCAGAGGCTAATTTCTTGGCCTATGTCCCCTCCTGTGAAGCCCCATTTTTTTACATGCATCTCCCCTAAACACCAGGAGGATCCCCATGTGTCATAAAAAATGGACAGTGTCTTGATATAATTGCCACATTCACCTAAATAATTGAAGTTAACACAAGATAAGTTTATTTCAAAATGAGATAAAAACATGAACAGCAAAATTATGGTAATTGAAACTGAGCAGTGTTATAATCTCAGATACAGGAGTATTATGCATTTTTTTTAAACAGTGCTTCTCATGCTGACTATTTACAAGCAAGTAGTTAATTAGTCTACATTAAAAATTACGCAATCAGAGCAAAGTAACAATAACACTGTTAGGAATGGAATGAGGGCAGTAGATATTTTTATTAAAATTTAGGATAAAATCAAGTTCTGAAGGATACTAAGAAAGAAAGTAAAATATTTTATTATTTGTTTTCTGTGATTAAGAGTTGCCATCATGCTTAGTTTTATATATATGGTAGTGAAAAAGTTACCATCTTTCCAACAATGAAATCGTAACATTAAACAATAGCTTTAATAATTAAAAAAACAACAGTAACAATAACAATTGGAAAACCACCTGGGCAGGTTCTGTGGTAATTAAGCATTATGAAGTTCAATGCATTTTTTTTCATTAAGAATATATGAAAAAAAAAAAAACAAACAACAGTAACAGTAACAATAACAACGGGAAAACTACCTGTGCAGGTTCTCTGGTAATTGAGCATTATCAAGTTCAATGCAATTCTTTCCATTAAGAATATTAAACAATATAAACAGCACATAAATTGCAAACGCTTTCGTTAACTTCTCCTTTTTGTGCAAAGAATGTAGCAAATGAACTTTTAACCATAAGTTCTATTGTTTATGTGAATGTCAGTCAGCACCACCAAGTTCAATTGATTTTACAATTTTGTCATCCATAATAACTTGAAAACATAAGTTGCTGACATTTAGAACGGTTTGTTCATCTTGTGATTCATTTAACTCGCCCACGTGTGTTGTTGAGGTCGATGTTGCTGCCTGTGGTTTGGAAAAGAGCAAGCGAACTTATTGGCGAAGAAGGACAGCTTCGTCTTGATAAACTTGATAATATTTCCTGTGATTGATCTAATGTGACTGGTAGCCATTTCAAGCAAGTTTTAAATGAGAGATTGTTTCGTGGTTCGTATTGCAGATTGTAAAGCAAATTGTAAAGTAAATTGTACAGCAGTTATTGTACGGGCGAGCCTCAAGTCTGGGCCGAAACAGGAGCTCAAATGTTTTAGTGTGACTATCTTGGCCGCTATTATTGATGTGTGCGTTGTAGGTTGAAGAACTCCAAGGGAAAAGCACAATAATAAAGCAATGATTTACGTACTTACCACGACTTTCCAATGCAATTCAACGCAAAATTATAACCTTAGCAACTATCCAATATGGCTGCCTCGATGGTCCGTCTCGTCCACGTGATAGCGAATGCGTGTGCCAAAAAACTGTTTAGGGTACCCCTAGTTGCGAACATTTCGGCTTCTCATACGACGTTGCAAAATTGCGACTTATTGTTAATTTATTTATTATTAGACCATACAAACAGTAATTGTGATTTATTTTATTCTTTGCACTTGCTGATTGGAGCGAGTTCGAAGTTTATTTGGACTTTAATTAAGACGAACGGGGGAGGGGTGGTGAGGAACATCACAAATCACTTCCGGTCCGATTTACTTCCGTCTACAAAACGGGTCTACAAAAAGTGTCTACAAAAAATGTCTACAAAAAGTGTCTACAAAAAGAGTTCACATCTTGGCCCCTCACAATACTCATTCATTGTGCAAGCACATGAATGAGCTAATAAAAGTGTCTGAAGAGAACGTCTGAAAAAGGCTTTAGATGATCTTAGAACATAATAGGTAGGTAGCCTGTTTGGAGTGCACCTCTGGACAGAGCATTTGTTTTTTTAAGTTAAACACCTATATATAGACTTAATTTTTCACAAACTTTATGTTTCTGGGAAGCTTTCTTCCCAAGAAAAGACGTTATGCACACTACAAATCGTTTCACTAAAACTCTGCGAGTTTACTTCAAAGATCACTCCTCGAATCGGTTTAAAGTGATCTCGTCCTTTAGCACCACAAAGTAAATACTTAAAGTACTTTAGATATCTTGATAATACAGGAAGCCCTGATATAATAATATCAACGATAAATAGTGCAATGACATCTTAAACTTTACATTTCTATTGAAGTAATTCGCGTTCTGTTCGAAATTACAGAATGTCGAAGCTGAACCGCATTCGCAAATGACTCAAAATGACAATACCATTTTCCCTCTCCACCGTCGCCACTGTTGTGTTCCCTTCAAAACGTAACTTCACATCAATACGAAAAAGTCAGTGTGATGGTATGGTTGATGAATTTAACTCGTGATTCAAAGGAAAGTAAAAGTGCTTGATGTCATTCTCTATCCTACACGGGGGTACCTAGTGCAGTATATGTTATGACTTTTCTTGTTCATTCTTCAGCGAGAGCGTACGTTTATTTTCCGTTAAGTCACTCGCATCAGTTTCTAAACCCTGGATACGTTGTGGTGTAATTTTATCCGTGATTTTGTTTGTCAGTTTCAGTCATATATCAAACATTGCCTTACCTAACAAAAAGGAAATAAATAAAGAAAAAAACGAAAAGAGGGTAAATTAATTTTAAACCAAAGATTAATTGGAACCTCACCGTACGCATCCCATACAACTTTACAACAACCTTATACACCTTTACAAAATGTTTGTCACTTTCACAACCAACACTTTTGACAACTTAGCCCCGTTATTGTAATAACGGTCTAATGTCGACCATAACTGTACTGTCTATTTTTTGACCTTGGCCTTGATCCGTACTAGTTGATTGGATTGACAGGGAGTCTTCCATATAAAGGTATTGAATAATCAGGTAATGACACGAAATACCAGTCACATCACGTTTCACGACTTGCTGCCTATGGCCACGCACTTTCTGTCCCATTCCGGGGTATTAAGCGACGATAGCATAAAGTCTGCAACATCGGCTCTTGGTATGAACCACGACGTGTTTGGGACAATCTGCCCTTCTTGTACTGAGTAATCTCCTTTGGCCGGACCTGAATGAGGAGATAAATCCTAATGAATCTCGTGCAATCAGGAAATACACATTTAGCCTCAAGTGGTATTATCTTTTATCATATGACTAGTTCCGCACTGACTAATTCGTTGGGCTTTGAAAATATTGTGGATTTCTTCCTATTAGACACCTAATGAGCTCGTAACTTCCCTCATCCCAAATTTTCAAAGAGACAAAAGGGTCGATCAGCCCAGTAGAAGGAATCCTTGTACCTTATTCTGCCGGAGACAGACATTGACCCATTGACCCCCTCCCCCCATTACTCCTTGCCCCCACTCTACCTGCCAGTCATCTGGTAACAATTTATACTCCAGGGTGGAAAAAGTGAATAAAAAAGTTATGGGATAAAGAGAGCCGGGCAGGACTTACACCTAGACCCCTCGACTCCAGATTCCGCGAATCGTCAGGCCTAAAAACAACAACTGCAAATCGTAGATCTAATTATTTTATTCACCATTCTTTAATCCTGGAGGACGCACAACGGTGTAGTTCAATTTTGTTTCCATGAGCATCCTCTCCATCAATGCCATGTCATGTATGAATCCGGCCATCATCAACGGCTTGAGCAAGTACTCCATAAGTTTAGGATTTCCTGGTTCTTTCTGAGTGCCCCATGATGTTACGCAGACTAATCTATCCACGTTACTCCTATACGGAGAAAATTACTTTTGTGAGTAAACTACCTCAAGCTGTGTACAAACGTAAATGTGATATGAAGCTTGTGTACAAAGGTGAATGTGATATGAAGCTTGTTGAAGTGCGCGAAAGCAAAAGAAGACAAGGAGAAAAAAAGAAAATGCAAATGCAACGACTAGTTTTCGCACTTGTTTTTCGGGTCACTCGTAATATTTGTTCAACGTCCCGCGTGCATCCGTAACTCGATGGTGTGCGATGTAGTGTTAACCATTTGTTTTATGACATAACATCGATACATTGAAGCAAAAGAGTTCCCTCTACTTGAACAAATCATTCGTAACCAGACAAAACAAGTGCGCGAAACTAGTCATGATTTGCTCACGTCAGCAGCCTACACCTACCCATGGGCAAAGAGTAGACTCTGACTTGACCGATCAGAGCGCGCGCTTTTGTGGAGGGTGATTACCGCATTACTCCTAAACCACTTCTGACCTCCACACACTCGTGAGTGATGTTTTGGCCTTTAAGAAGCGCATTAAACGCTGGGTCGTAAGGTTCGGGTTCGCTCTTTTTTCGGGAGCTCTCGTGGAAGGTTGCTATGTGATGCAGCAATATAGTATCATTTTCTCACTGATGTCCCAAACTCACCTGTTGTATAGATGGATAATTTTAAACCATTCTTTATGGGAACCCACAATCTGTTTACACTCTAAAAAGTAAACTTACCTCTCCATCGCTGCTGATATTGACTTCATTGACTCTGAGTACAAGGTTGTGTGCTTAAAGACACTTGTTCCATGTGCACCAAGGCAAGATAATACAGCGTCTTTGTCTTGAAGAATGGGATTTAGTGACTCTGAGTCAAACACGTCTCCTTTTATGACTTCCAACTTTTCATGTCTGTGTAATAAAATCCGCAAGGTAATTATCATCGCTCAGAAGCGAAATAGGTCTTACGCTGTGCAGATTAAAAAGGTGAGAACCATTTGCCTTAAACTACTTCAGAATTCCTTCTCCATCTAGAGAATATAAGGCCTTATGTGTAAGGGATTTCTTGTTCATCAGTAACCAAATGAACCAGTTTTCCACGCTGATATGGACGATCAAAGAAGCAAATAAATACTATAGCTACGACATTAACAATACCTGTAAAGGGCTATTTAAAAACTTTTATACATTAAAAAATAATAATAATTTCGTGAAGGGGAATTAGTTGATAAGGCAATCGTGAAAATTGCCAAAATAGCGAGTGGAAGATCTAAGACACCGAATCCTTTAAAAAAACTTGAAGGTACCTTTTAATCAGCGAAGAACACTACTAAGTTTTTTTTTCTTCGCATTACGCTTTTATTCTATTTACCTCTCATACGGTACTTGCGTGATATAAGAGCTGGCGTGACCTTGGTCACGCACTTTTAATGCAAATGTAACCTATCATATTTTCTTTCACAAAATGGAGGGAAGTTATCACAAAGGAAAAATACAAAACGAGCGAGTGCCATTATCACGTGCAGTTTCCGATAGATGCTTTAAGTTCAGATCCAACTAACTCTGGAACAAAGAAACATTTGTTCAAGTTGCTTTCGTACACTGTCTTAAAAATCATTTGTGTGCTGTACAATAAATAGTTGCCATTACGATTAAATTTTATTCAATCGTTTATATTCGACCAGCTTTGCATGTGATGTCCGCTGTAAATTTTAAAAATTTGAGAAATATGGTGGTAGATGAGTCACTTAACTGCCCAGGTTCTCAAAGGTTCAACTCGAACGTTCGCACGTTCGCCCGTCACGCTACAATAAGAGAGCGAGACTTTAGTGAAAACAATTAAGAGTCCATATACTCACCTGATGTCAAATTTGTCCGGACTCCTTACAACAGCGGAAATCAAGTGACCTTTATTCAATGCTTGTTGTACCAAATGACGTCCAGTTGGCCCTGACGCCCCAAAAATCACCAGCTTGGGAAAGAGTAGTTCGGCCGCCATGATAAACCGGTTGAGGGTGTTTACATTATGATTCCTACGTTGTGAAAGACCAAACAGTGTGTCGCAAGAAGGTAGCTTACCGCATTTGCTCTAATCCGAGTGTAAAAAAGGATTTTCTTGAACTTTTGCCTTATTTGCTTCGGACTCGTTTTGAATGCAAAAATCTCACAGCAACATCAATCTTGGAAACCAGTTCAAGTTTCGAAGGATAAAGAGCAGACAATTTGTGGTGATCTCTGTTGAGCCTCACCCAGAAATACGTGACTGTTTGAGAGAGATGGGCTCACATCCACAAGACCTGAGAGTTCTCTGCAATTCATTTAAGTTCACCAGAATCTCTAAGAATTTTTTTCCTCTCTTTTTTATTTTCCCCACTCACACCAAGCTGGAGAGTGGGAGTCACTAAGTATCAAGTATCTTTAAAAAAATGTCCAAACTAATCTTAAGCTAGTTAAACTTTAAGGCCCAGGTGAGATTCCATTTCTCATTACAGGTAAAAGTTCACTATGAATAATTCTGGTTGCAGCCGGGTTCAAACTAGTAACATTAAAGTATCATCTCTTATCTCTTTTTCCACACTTGACATCTTGCGCATCTTATGGAAAGCTTCCCTTACCGACCATGATCCGGAAGGGACGGTTCACGCTCCAACCATGATCTGCTACGTGTGTCGACAGATAAAACAATGAATTAATAAATATAAATCGACGCCGCTTGAACTCTGGAATTTTTTAACCCCTTCCCAGGTTCTTTTTATCACGTTATTTGTGTATCTATGTATAGTCAATTTGTTTGTCCATTTATGATTTGTTTGCATATCATGCTTTATTTCTGCCGGTGTCTGTTTACTTGCAAGACCGATCACCGCGGGAAAAAGGAAATTAATTTTGATCTTACACTGAAGGCGTTCATATGTACTTAGGGTGAATAAGTTGCGTCGCAGGTGTGCTGTGAAATTATCGAGAAATACAGATTTAATCTGCTCCTTGTGCCTATACTTCACCTGTGACATCAAATTTGCTAAGTCATTTGAATACACTCATTCAACCGATACAGAAGAATGAGAAGTTTTCTCACTAAAGAAGATAAAGAAAACATGTCGGCGGAAATGTTGCCTAAGTACCTTATGTAGACTTTCTTCCTGTAAGTGCGTGATCACTGGCAATTATTTAAGCGCACAGGAAGAGATAGAGGGACAAAGTACAAAAACGGATAAGTCTTCCTGCTGTTCTTTTGCTTTGCGTTGACATCACACCCGCCCTTATGCAGTTAATTAGAACCTAGTGCATACTGCATAACACTAACAATTGGCTCATCAGGAGGAAACCTTTCTTAATTGCTACTTTTCATCAATACTGGTCGTCAAGAAGCCGGGGGACATGCTAAACTGATCTGATCGTGCATCTTTGTGGCCCTCATTCATCAGCTAGCTTAGTCATATCTTTTTTGAGACCTCCTCTGACACTTCTCTCAGCTCAAGTTACTTTTGTTTTCCAAAAATGAAGTAACATGATTAGCACAAGAATTTAGCAATTTGATACCTTTGGTTGATTCTCTTTATTCTCAAGTGCACAATAAACTTTATAAAGGCACCCCAACCTTCCGCTTTGATCAGATAAACTGGAGGTATTCGAACGATAAACTCTACCTAAGTTTTGCCTTGCTCGTAATCATGTTGAATCCGTTCGTGTCCCTTTTTGTACTGCATCTCTTCATTCTGAGTTTGACTGTGTCTGGAAGAGGAATGGCTCATAAAAACCGTTTAGAGAAAACTTCGTGTTCTGAAGAGACGAAAAACTCGCCTGAAACGAAGGGTCCAAAGAAGCACTTTAAGAGTCTAATTCAAGAAGGATGTAAGTTAAACGATGTATTTCCTCTTGCTCTATTTTTTAATGGAATTCAGTTACTGATGCGATGAGGAAACGTTATCCTAAACTTACAGGGTTTTTAAATGATCGATAAACTTAAAAATCTAATGGTTTATTTGCTCTCAGCTCTCAACTTTACGTGGATTATAATTTTACGAAGGAAAGCAGAAGTTTGCAATCTTAATAGAGTACAGACAATTTTTATTTATAGCGACTTGATCTGCATAGCCCTAAAGCCCAAATACCAAAAGGGAAAAGTCTTGAAAATGAAAATTCCTTAATTTCACTTTTATCTTGTTTTAGCTGCTGATCAGCACAATGAAGTCCAAATTGAACCATTTTCAAGCAAGGAAACAGAACGCAAACTTCTTCCAGAGAAGAAAGAAGATGAAGCTGATGCTTGCCGAAGGGTGCCGATGTATGTGAGCTTTTCGAATCTTAAAAATAGTACCCTGTTTGATCTAGTCATTGCACCTTCGGGGTTCAATGCTTTTAAGTGTGTGGGGAAGTGCAAACCTAACAATTATTCACTGATGATGGCAATCCTGAACTCAAAGAACAAGAGGTACCCAACCGATGGCGGCAGGTCCTGTTGCGTCCCAATAAAGTGGCGATCAGTCTCTTTATTGGTGTTTCAGCAGGAGAAGGTTTTATTGAGGAAATTTGATAATATGATTGTTCAGGAATGCGGGTGTATGTGAAACTTTTTGGTCCTTACGATTAACTGTTAAGATTTTTGTGTAGTGTCGGGCAAACTTTAAACGGTGGACACCTTTACGCTTGATAAGGCCACCTTCATGTAATTTGCGAAAGTTTTCGTTTAGCGAAGGAACTGTTTTCAATATAAACAATGCTGATTAACAATTGTAAATTTTTTAAAAAAACTTATGGGATGTTAGCGTATTGTGAACATCCAGTACAATTCTTCATTGTTGTGATGCAGATTACAGTAATAAAAGTTTGCCACTTCATCGAGATGTTTCAGTGTAAAAGGATTTCATGTGACTGAGAAGCTTCCCAATCCAAAGCAAATCCTGTATAAGGACATCCGCCGGACAGTTGTCAGATTCCTTAGGGATAAATTCCCCAGTTGAGCAGCAGTATTAGTAAGAGAGAGCACTTTCTCCTTAATCGTCTTTATTACTCTTGAAAATTTGTCACAAGCATTCCGAAAGTGATTTTACTGAAAGGTCTCTGGGTTTTTACATGCAAGATACGTTGCAGCTTCAGAAAACAAACGAAGTGAGAAAAAAAAACCATTTTCCACAGAAAAATTTTGCTTTACAGCTGAGCTTCGATCAGTTAAGGTTCTCAGAAAACAAAAGCATTAAAAAAAAGAAGTGCCTAATAGTTGTGTAGAATCCTCCCTTTGGCCGAGCAGTTTTCCTCAGGGATTTAAATCTTGAGGGTATAAGAATAACATATGGAGAGAAGGCCATCTCAAAACGGTGCAAGTGACATGCAAGTTTCTAGTGTTAAGCAGTCATAAGGGCCCTGAAGGTAAGGCGATCGGTAACGATGCAACAAAGTCTAGGAAAAAAGTACGTAAAAATGTTCATCGACATCACAGTTGTTGGTAATAGTTCAGAAGTTTCAGTATCTAAAGGCATTTTATTCAAAATGAAAATACCAGTGAAATACCCCTTGCAGATAAGAGTATTTTCTCTCGGACTAAGAGAGCTTATAGTATCCAAGAGTATGTGGTGCAAGACAATTAGGAAGCAACCTGCTGTGCTAGAATTCTATGATTAAGAAAACTCTCACACTTAACGGTCTTTCAGTACTTGTTTCTTCTAAGGAAATAAGGACGGTCTTAATGAATACAGTTTGCTTGGCACAAAGACACTTAATCTATAGCATAGTTACATGCAATGTGCTCAGTCAAACCGAAAGTCTATCCAAGGAACGGAAGGCCATTTTTTTTTCCAGCGAAAGCTATTATTAGACGAAGATTCGCATGCTCTCAATTCAGTTTCGAATTACCTAAAAACGAAAAAACTTCACATCAAATTTACTTATTTTATTTGATTCGCCGTAATTAAGAACGTTTCTCTGCACTGAACAACATACAGCTTCTGATAGGAGCAATGTATCCACTCTTACCTCAAGGACGAGCTTCTGAGAACTGTTTTGAGCTGAGTTGAAAACGTTAATTGGCCACCGTAAAGAGTAAAAAAGCTCGAGACGTCAGCTTTTTTACTCTTTACGGTGGCTAATTTACGTTTTTAACTCAGTTGTTAACACTAAATTACTGCTATACTCTCCCACCGACGCAGCACTACAGTTTCTTAAGAAACGTACCCCCTTTATTCACCTGTTGTTTTGAGTTTGCCTTAGTAATTTTTTTACAAACTACTGAAAATCTTTCAGCGTTTTCTGGTTTTTTGATCAGTGAAGGACACCAAACCAAAACACATAATGCCTGCGGGGAAAAAATGACGGGCGTTAAAGTCAGCTTTTTTTGAGTTATAGAAGTGATAATTGGTAATGAACAAGTAAGTATTGATAAACCCACGGAACAAGAAAAGTTTATAACGCTACGCGATAATCAACAGGGTTAGAAGAGTGGATATATCGAGTTTCCATGAGCAGATGATCGTGAAACCACTGAACCAAACTTGCGAAATAGCTGAGTAAGAGACAAATTGCTTAGAACGAGGCTGGTAGATTAAACTCTCTGTAATAATTCTACTGGAGGTAATAACCCTTCTATATACAAGGGGTGAAATTTAATTCCTAATTCCTCATGAAGAAGTTGGAAAAATAAATCGGAGTTTTCGCTCTTCAGAATCAATTCTTAGTTACTACGAGTAATCAAGACTTTATTTTCTTGGAAGAGAATCACTTAATTATCATAGTTGTTTAACCCACTGACTCGCTGCCGAATGTAAAATACATGCAGTACCCAATACAAAATACAAAACGTCAATCGATCATGAGCATAGTCAACATTGAGTTATCGAGTGAAAAAAAATATATATGTGTATGTAATATTATACAATAGAGACAAAATTTCGACTGAGAACTGTTTGGTAGAGAAGTTAGTTCTCTACAGTAAACCGGCAATAACTCGTTAAAAACGGTAAGTCTAATGACAACCTCTTCTCCCATGCAAATGTCTCAGAATAGTACCCTTCTGGATCCCCTCTGAATGAGGAGTTTTCAGTTCTCTTTTTGAATGGGGAAGTATTTGTTTTCTAAGCTAATGGTCTTTAAAGTATTATTTGGGATGTTGTGTCTTGTATTTAGTTTTATCTATCCTTTAGTCATGAGCTTCAATACCTATCGGGAAAATGCAAACTATAAAGCAAAATTTTCATAAGCTCATCAGCGAATAGCTAAAAGAGCTAAAAGACTCTAACTGTAGCTGATATCTAAAGCTATACACAAACCCGACTTTTTTATCGCAGTGGTTCGATTCGCGCCTGATGTAATTCTTACCTTAAAATTTCTCTGTTGAAAGAAGACTTTACACTTGTAATTAAGATTAAATCGTTAACCTCTCGTCTAATTCAGCAGCAGTAGCATTTAAATCAGTATGTTTCAAGTCATACGAATGTGAGCACTTGAAAAGCTAACAGACGAAACGGATCAATGGAACATGATAGGTAAATAACCTTCCTTTTAATCTGTTCTTGAGTTTCAATCAATTGAAAGTTCCTGCCATACAACAAAAATGTTTGTGTGGAAACAGAAAAAGACAACCTGATGAAAGTGCGGATCTTAGGTCAACTTCCTCAAAGAAGAGGTGTTGATTCTGTTTAGGGGGTTATAATTCCCTTGTTTACTGAAAGGTGAGATATCTCTTTGGGAGGTAAGATTTTTTTGAGCTTAGAGGAGATGATTGCCCTCTGGAGAGGGTTGTGAAATCTCAGCGCATAGAATTGATAACGTCCTTGCGAGGTTAATTTACTTTGTGTTTACCAGTAATTAAGAGTCCGTGGGGTTACACGAAACACAGCTACAAAAACAGGCAAAAGTACACAGAATGTTGTTTACTTTGTTGCTGTAACGATCGGGTTATGAACTTTAATTGATGGGTAATAAGTGAAAAATAACAATAACATGCATACCAGGAAAGCAATTTACTTAGCAAGAGAAAATGGGAGAACGCTTCCTTTATTTTCATTTGATCTTTGTGAATGAACTATTAATGAGGCGGATATCCTGTTCACGTAAAAACCTAATTAAGGGGGGTGGGGAGGGGTAGCCTAGTGCAGTATCTGTTAGGATCTTCAGCGAGTGGGTACGTTTATTTTCTGTTAACCCCTTAACTAATAAGATCTTATTGTTAATTCTCCCCCAGGCTGCTACACATTTCCTTGTAAATAAGTTACGAGAATTTGGTGTCAGATCAAGGTAACAACTTCGATCTGATAAGTTTGAATATTCCCATGACCTGTTTGCTGGATAAATTTAAGTTATTATAGGGAGAAGTTAGTTTTCAATCACTTCTGGGAGTTAAGGGGGTTAATTCACTCACATCAGTTTCTAAACCTTAGATACGTTGTGGTGTAATTTTATCAGGGATTTTGTTCGTCAGTTTCAGTCATATATCAAACATTGCCGTACCTAATAAAAAGGAAATAAATAAGGTATAAAACCGAAAAAAAGGCAAATAAATTTTAGACCAAAGATTAATTGGAACCTCATCGTACACATCCTATACAATTTTACAACAACCTTATACACCTTTACAAAATGTTCCTCACTTTCATAACAAACAGTCTTGCTTTGCCCCTTTATTGTAATAATGGTCTTATGTTGACCATAGCTGTACTGTCTATTTTTTTAACTTTGGCCTTGACCCGTGCTACTTGATTGAATTAACAAGGAGTCTTCCATATAAGGGTATCAAATAATCAGTTAACGACACGAAATACCAGTCACATCACGTGTCATGACTTGCTGCCTATGGCCACGCACTTTCTGTCCCATTCCAGGGTATTAATTAATCCTCTGCTTCGGACTCGTTGTTAATGCAAAAATCGCACAGCAACATCAATCTTGGAAACCAGTTCAAGTTTCGAAGGATAAATAGCAGACACTTTGTGGTGATCTCTGAATTACTAAATATCGAGCCTCACCCAGAAATACGTGACTGTTTGAGAGAGATGGGCTCAGATCCACAAGACCTGAGAGTTCTCTGCAATTCATTAAAGTTTTCAGCCGGATCTCTAATAATTTTTTCCCTCTTTTTTATTTTCCCCACACACATGAAGCTGGAGAGTGGGAGTCATTAAGTGCCAAGTACCTCAAAAAATGTCCAAATTGATCCTAAGTTAGTTAAACTATAAGCCCGAGGTGAGATTCCACTTCTCATTTAAGGTAAAAGTTCACAATGAATAATTTTGGTTGAAGCGGGATTCAAACGAGTCGCATAAAAGTAAGTATCATCTCTCATCTCGTTTCCTACACTCGATATCTTGCGCGTCGTATGGAAAGCTTCCCTTACCGACCATGCTCCGGAAGGGACGCTTTACGCTCCGACTATTGTCACGAATAGTACAGACACGTAACGTAGACTACGTGCAGGCTCTTTTCCATATCATGACCTGCCGCGTGAGTCGACAGATAAAACAATGAATTTAGAAATATAAATCGACGCTTGAACTCTGGGATTTTTTTTTTTTTTTTTTTTTTTTACATCTTCCCAGGTTCTTTTTATCACGTTATTAATGTATTTATGTATAGTTTATGTGTTTGTTCATTTATTATATGTTTGCACATCATGCTTTATTTTTGCCTGTGTCTGTTAACTTGCGAGACGGATCACGGTGGGAAAAACTAATTAATTGAAATCTTACACTGAAAGCGTTCTTATGTACTTAGGGTGAATAAGGCGCGTTGCATGTGTGCTGTGAAATTAACGAGAAATATAGTGAAATATGACTCTTCTGCTCCTTGTGCCTAAACTTCACTTACGACATCAAATTTGCTGAGTCATTTGAATGCATTGATTCAACCGACCCAGCTATAATCAAAAGAATGTGAAGTTTTCTCACTAAAGAAGATAACGAAAATATGTCAGTGGAAATGTTTCCTAAGTACTTTGTGTAGACTTTCTTCATGTAAGTGCGTACAGGAAGAGATAGAGGGACAAAGTACTAAAACCGATGAGCCTTCCTACTGTTCTTTTGCTCTGCGTTGACATCACACCGCATTTATGCAGTTTATTAGAACCCGGTGCATACTGCACAGTACTAACCATTGGCTTATCATAAGGAATCCTCCCTAATTGCTGCTTTTCATCAATACTGGCCGGGGGACATGGCTGCTAAACTAATCTGATTGTGCATCTTTGTGGCCCTCATTCATCAGGTAGCTGAGTCAAATCTTTTTTCGAGACCTCCTCTGACACTTCTCTCAGCTCAAGCCACTTTTGTTTTTCAAAAAAGAAATAACACGATAGCACAAGAATTTAGCAATTTGACACCTTTGGTTGATTCTCTTGATTCTGAAGTGTACAATAAACTTTATAAGCCACCTCAACCTTCCGCTTTGATCAGATAAACTGGAGGTATTCGAACGATAAACTCTACTTAAGTTTTGCCTTGCTCGTAATCATGTTGAATCCGTTCGTGTCCCTTTTTGTACTGCATCTCTTCATTCTGAGTTTGACTGTGTCTGGAAGGGGAATGTTTCATAAAAACCGTTTACAGAAAACTTCGCGTTCTGAAGAACCGAAAAACTCTCCTGAAACGAAGGGTCCAAAGAAGCACTTTTCGAGTCTAATTCAAGGAGGATGTAAGTTAAACGATGTATTTCCTCTCGCTCGATTTTTCTGAATGTATCCAGTCAGTCACTAGTTCGATGAGGAAACGTTGTCATAAACTTGCAGGTTTCTGAAATGATCGATAAACTTAAAAATCTAATGGTTTATTTGCTCTCAGCTCACAACGTTACGAGGATCACAATTTTACGAAGGAAGGCAGACGTTTGCAATCATGTTTTCTTGCAGGAAATGAATAGAGTACAGACAATTTATCTTCAATACTTATAGCGACTTGATCTGCATAATCCCTAAGCCCAAAGACCGAAAAAGAAAAGTTTTGTGATGAAAATTCCATCATTTCACTTTCATCTTGTTTTAGCAGCTGAAAAGCACAATGAATTTCAAATTGAACCATTTTCAAGCAAGGAAACAGAACGCAAACTTCTTCCAGAGAAGAAAGAAGATGAAGCTGATGCTTGCCGAAGGGTGCCGATGTTTGTGAGCTTTTCGGATCTTCAGAATAGTACCCTATTTGATCTAGTCATTGCACCTTCGGGGTTCAATGCTTTTATGTGTGTGGGGAAGTGCATCAGTGGGGAAGCTAACAATTATTCACTGATGATGGCAATCCTGAACTCAAAGAACAAGAGTTACCCAACTTATGGTAGCAGGTCCTGTTGTGTCCCAATAAAGTGGCGATCAGTCTCTTTATTGGTGTTTCAGCAGGAGAAGGTTTTATTGAGGAAATTTGATAATATGATTGTTCAGGAATGCGGGTGTATTTGAAACTTTTTGGTCCTTACGATTAACTGTTAAGATTTTTGTGTAGTGTCGGGCAAAATTTAAACAGAGGACACCTTGTTAAGGCCACCTTCATGTAATTTACGTGAGTTTTCGTTTAGCGAAGGTACTGCTACCAATATAAACAATGCTGATCTGATTAACAATTGTATTCTTTTAAAAACCTTATGGGATGTTAGCGTATTCTGGACATCCAGTACAATTCTTCATTGTAGTGATAGAGATTAAAGTAATAAAAGTTTGCCACTTCATCGAGATGTTTCAGTGTAAAAGCATTTCATGTGACTGAGTAGCTTCCCAATCCAAAGCAAATCCCGTAGAAGGACATCCGCCGGACAGTTATCAGATTCCTTAGGGATAAAATTCCTCAGTTGAGTAGCAGTATCAATAAGAGAGAGTACTTTCTCCTTAATCGTCTTTATTGGTCTTGAAAATTTTGTCACAAGCATTCCGAAGGTGATTTTATTGAAAAGCTTCAACAAACAAACGAAATGAGGAAAAAATCATTGCCGACAGAAAAATTTTGCTTTACAGCTGAGCTCCGATCAGTTAAGGTTCTCAGAAAACGAAAGCATTAAAAAAGAGAGAGGAAAAGAAGTGCCTAATAGTTTTGTAGAATCCTCTCTTTGGCCGAGCGGTTTTCTTCAGGGATTCAAACCCCGTGGGTATAAGAATAACATATGGAGAGAAGGCCATCGCAAGACGGTAATATTTTCTCAGAATGGGTGTTTTGATGACATGCGAGTTTCTAGTGATAAGCAGTCATAAGCTTCCTTGGGGTAAAGCCAATGAGTAACGACGCAAAAGAGTTTAGGAGAAGAGAACGTAAAAATGTTCATCGACATCACTGTTGTTGGTGTTAGTTCAGACATTTTATTGTGTAAAAGTGTTAAAGCATTTTATTCCAAATTAAATACCAGTGAAATACCCCTTGCAAAGAAGGGTATTTTCTCTCGGACTAAGAGAGTTTATAGTATGTAAGAGTATATGTGGCAAGACGATTAGGAAGCAACCTGGTGTGCTAGAATTCTACGTTGAAGACAACTCTATAAAAACTAACTCACATTTTCGATCTTTCAGTAATTATTTCTTCTGAGGATATGACGACGATTTTAATAAACGCAGTTTGCTTGGCACAAAGTCTCGTAATCTATAATATAGTTACATGCGATGTGCTCAGTGAAACTGAAAGACTATCCAAGGAACAGAAGGCCATTTTTGTCCAGCGAAAGCTATTACTAGACGAAGATTGGCATGCTCTCAGTTCAGTTTCCAATCACTTAAAGACAAAAAAATTTCACATCAAAATTTAATTGATTCACAGTAATTAAGAAAGTTTCTCTGCACTGAACAGCATATATCTTCTGACAAAAGCAATTCATTTATTCTTACCTCAGAGACGAGTTTCCCCACCATCAATTAAATTTTAAAAAAATTAGAGGTATGCGAAAGATGGACTCTAGCGAGATATGCTTTGCTCCTCAGCTTGTTGAAACCATTCTTGTTATTTTAAGTTTGCCTCAGCAACTTATTGTAATTTATTTGTAAAAATGACCGAAAATCCCTCAGTGTTTTCTGGTTTTTGATCAGTGAAGGATACCAAACCAAAACAAATAATGCCTGCGGGGGGAAAATGGCGAGCGTTAAAGTCAGCTTTCTTTGAGTTATAGAGGTGATAATTGGTTATGAACAAGTTTGTATTGATATACCTACGGGACAAGAAGAGTTTATAATACTACGTGGTAATCAACATGGTTAAAAGAGTGGATATATCGAGTTTCCAAAATCAAATGATCGTGAAACTACTGATCAGAACCAAATTTGTGAAATAGCTGAGGAAGAGACAAATTGCTTAGAACAGGGCTGGTAGATCAAACTCTCTGTAATAATTCTACTGGGGGGTAATAACCCTTCTGTACACAAGGGGTGACATCTAATTCCTCCTAAGAGGCAATTATTTTCAAAGATGTGGAGAGCTGATAACCCTCGCTGGAGGGCTATAATCTCCCAGAGACGGCGAGGTGATAACATTCCAGTTTAATGGTTTAAGTAATGGAGATCCGTGTTTACCACACGATAAGAAGTTCGAAAAATAAACTAGATTTTCTCGATTGCAATGCGCCACAATAACAATGTGTCTCAGCGTGAATCCTTAGTTTTGGCTCATTGGAATCAATTCTTAGTTACTACGACTGATCAAGACTTTTATTTTCTCGGAAGAGAATCACTTAATTATCATAGTTGTTAAACTCACTGACTCGCTGCCGAATGTAAAATACATACAGTACCCAATACAAAATACAAAACGTCAATCTATCATGAGCATTGTCAACACTGAGTTATCTAGGGAAAAAAAAGTATATATATATATGTGTATAATTTTATACGATAGAAACAAAATTTCGACTGAGAACTGAGTGTTTGGTAGAGAACTTCGTAGTTCTGTTAGAGGATTCATCATAACTTTTATATTGTCAAACTCATTTCTGTTTTGCCCGGACTTGACCATAGGACTGAGAGATTTATGGTAGAGAACGGTTTTGGGAAGCGTAAACATCTCGAAGGTACCTACTTAGTATGCGAACTCCGCTCTGCATGGCTCAACGTGATTCGCTAGTTAAGTGTAAAAGGATGACGAAGGTTAGAGAATGACGGCTCAGTAAGCGTCACTTTTATAAACGGTGACCCACACTTTCCTTGAGAGATCTGAGCTAGTCGAGTGTTAGAAAAATCCTCTGACAATAATGGTGTTCAAAGTGTTATTCGGGATATTGTGTCTTGGATCTAGTTTTATCCATCCTCTGATCATGAGCTTCAATACCTATCAGGAAAATGCAAACTAAAGCAAAATTTACACAAGCTCATCAGCTATTCGCTGATGAAGGCGTTCCTTATCGTAAAGATAAAGATCAACAGTCAAATGGCTGCCAATGACTTTCTGGTATTTCTACATGGGAAATATTTCAAGGAGTAAGAGTGACTGTTGAAGACCGCAGGTGTCACTAAACAGTGTGATCACCGAGGTGAGATTATTGCATTTCAAATGATAAACCCAAGCAATGCACTAAGTTGTTTCTTTTTTTGATTGAGGTTGTTTCTTTTTTTGATTGAGGTTGCCCATGCTGTGATTAGCAGCCTTTCATGTTATGAAAAAATTTTTTTTAAAATATAGCAGACAAGGCTGACTTCTCTGGTTCGTCCTAAGCTTTTGTACAGAGACTTAGAAATTGATCACGGTCTTGTTAAAAAGTGTTTACCGTATTATGAAGGATCTCTGATCCTTTAAGGTATACGTAAACCCAACTTTTTAATCCCGGTTGTTCGATTCGCGCTTGATGTGATTCTCATCTATAAATTCTTCTGTTAAAACAAGACTTTGTACTTGTAATTAAGATTAAAACATTAACCTGTCGTCTAATTAAGCAGCAGTAACATGAAAATCAATTTGTTTCAAAATCATACCTACTTCAGGGCATAGGGTAAAATAAGGACTGGACCATTTTTTTGGACCATTTCGTCGGGAGGGAGGCAGACCATCAGTACTTAGGGAGGGGTGGGATGCAGTCTATCAGTACTCAGGGAGGGATGGTAAGCAGACTGTTGATACTGAAGAAGAGATGGAGGACGAACTATTAGTACGCAGGGAGGTTGATGTATTTGTAACCGCTACTAATAATGGAGTTTTCATTGAATCATACAACTTGTTTTGAGTGGTTTTCCGACTGACTATTTGTATGTCAAAATTTTTGCGCTTTGCCGTAGCGTTTCTTTATTTTTTGTCATGCGAATGCGAAACTGGTCCCTAAAACTGAACTATCATTGAAAATATAGCCAATTCCTGTTTTCGATGCTCTACTTGTAAGTCATGCGTGTGCCTGTTAAGTCGACTTGTGCTAGTGCTAAATGATACTTACGGGTTAGCATGAATCATTCATCAGTTGCCTCACGTTTCCCTTGGGTAAACAATAGATCATTAAATTTATCCTCCTTCTTTTTGTCGATGATCTCTTCAGACGACAAAGATCACGGAATTTCCGGTCCTCAGCATAGTATTCACAAGCGTTATCGCAATTTTCACGTTAACGACTTTACTATAAAAACATTGTCGGTCTTCTTTCTTTTCAGATACACAGTTTTCCCCTATTAGATACACTAAACTCACGCCTAAAGTTGAATGTCATGTCACGCATTTCACTTCGTAAATTGACGATTAAAACAGCACAGCTTCAGCGCTGGATCATTTTTTAAATAATAGGTTTGCATTTTATGGCTTAACATTTGGCGCAATTTTCCTTTCACATAGCCGATGCATTGATTCATTAAATCCAAACTAGTGCAAAATACAGAATTACCTTCCTCGAAAATTATGGATTTCTAAGTCACCAATTACGAGTTTCCTTTTCGCAAATTACCGATTTGAGTTAATCTCCCAAATTACATTTTTTCATTCCGGTTTCGTTTCGTAGATTACAGTAAGCCCTCTCAAAGACAATAACAAAGGCAATAACAAAGCGACTTCTATGTTTCGCAATGACTTGAGAGAACATGAAATCTCTTTCCAATTTCAGGGACAGTCAAAGTTAATTAGTGTCTAACTTCAGACCAGATCAAAGAATTATGCAGAGAAAGGAAAAAACCGAACTGTACGATTAAATTTAAAGTGCGTAGGTTGTGGGGAAGTGGCATTTTAAGCCGGAAAACTGTGTATCTGAATAGAGAGAAGATTGCTTTGTACGAAACTACCAATAATTTATGTTTTTATCATAAAGGTGCAAAAGTTAAATTTGCGATAACGCTCATGAATACTATGCTGTTAAGTTAAAGGCCAAGGATCGGAAACTCCGGGTTCTCTGTCATCCTGATAAGATCGATGACAAGAGGAAGATAGATAAATTTCGTAGTAATATGCTGTACAAACAAAGAGAAACGTGAGGCAACTGTTGGATGATTCGTGATAATCCGTGAGTATAATTTAGCACTAGTACAATTGGATTAAAAAGGACACACGCATCACTCAACAGTGGAGAATTGAAAACGAGAATCGAAACGGATTAATAGAACATTATAGGTAAGTAACCTATCTTTTTTTTCTTGAGTTTCAATCAATTTTAAAGTTTCTACCATACAACAAAAGTGTTTGTGCGGAAACAGGAAAAGATAACCTGATGAAAATACGAACCTTTGGTCAACTTTCTCCAAAGAGGTGATGATTCTGTTTGGGGGGTTATAATTCCCTTGTTTACTGAAAGGTGAGATATCTCTTTAGGAGGCAAGATTTTTTTTTAACTAAGAGGAGGTGATTACCCTCTTGAGGGGGTTATGAAATACCAGCCCAGAGAGTTGATAACTTCTCTATGAGGTTCATTTGCTTTGTGTTTGGCAGTAATTAAGAGTCCGTGGGGTCAGCGAAAAGCAGCTACAAAAACAAGGCAAAGTACGCAAGATGTTTTTTTACTCTGTTGTTGTGACGATCAGGTCATGAACTTTAATTGATGGACAAAAAGTCAAACAATTTCTGAGCAGAAAATGGTATAAACGCTTCCCCATTTTCATTTGATCGTTGTGAATGAACGATTAATGAGAAGGATATCCTGTACACGTAAAAGCCTAACTAATTGAACTATGTATATCATTCACCAGGAGAGGAGCACATGATTGTTGTGACCTTTCGCTATCCTTTCAAGTAGACAGCGGACGGTATTTTTTGCAATTTTATTATAGGCGCAAGTCAGCTTTAACCACCCGGAAGTTGCGTCAAGTAAAAGAAGTATGTTCTGCAGATGTAAGCGATCCTCGCAGCTATGAACACAACTGAACTTGAAGTTGAAAATAAGACCTGAAAAAAATTCATGGCCCGTACGGGATTTGAACCCATGACCTCTTCGATACCGGTGCAGTATGTTCTGAACCATCACACTTCATGGGTACAATAGAATCGGTCATTTAGGGCCTAGCTATATAAATGAATATGAAAGTGATCTTCGCAATAGTGAACACTACTTAATCAGTTCAGAAATTAAGGCCTAAGGTGACGGAAAAACTACTGCGAATGTATGAAAATCATAAATGCGAACTACGGGTTAACAGATTATGAGAGCGTTCTTGGCAGTAATGAACACTACTTAAGTAGTACTGAAAATAAGGCCTAAGGTGATGAAAAATTGACTGTAAAAATATATGTGAACTGCGGGTTAAGAAGTGAATATGAAAGCGATATTCGAAGTAATGAACAGTACTCAAGCATTAGTCGGAAAATAAGGCCTGAATAAAATCATGACCAATCCAGCGACCATGAAGGAACAGGAGTGGAGTGCAACATGATAGTTCCTCTTTTAATTAACTTTTTGCCCTCTTACAAAGTAAATACTTAGCGCGACTCAAACAATGTTTGACAAGATGTTAATTTGCACGTTATTCCTTTCCTAACCGGCATTTTAAAGACCTCTTAGCGGTGTGGGTTACAAAAGAAACATCTGGTAAGGAAAGAATTTTCTTTGTTTGAATTAATAACAAGATAAGCGTTTTTAACATTTTCATACATTATCATTAAAAATACCAAGCTTCAGCTCGTCAGGCTTAGTTTTTTCAGTTTTGTAGGTACTTCGAAGCGTCTAGCTCCCATTTGATTGGGAAGAGTGACAGTGACATGACAGTTGGTCTGTTTATTATGTTGACGCCCTCATTAAAAGATTAGCTATTTATGACGCAAAAGAATACTTAGAGCGACTAACAGAGCTCTACCAACGTGGCGTTATCGATGCAATTTGGCATCTTTAGAGGGTTTTCTGTTCTCAATCTTTTCTCAAGACCTCCTCTGAGCAGTTTAGATCACAATACAAAACTTCCAATATAGAACAAGTTTTCGAAGTTTTAAGTAGTAATACGATTAGAACCAGATGTGCAACATAAGCTATGACGGTTTTTGTTACAATCTTCGCTCATGTTCTAGAATATGAGGGTATTTAAGGTGCCCACAAACTTTCGTCAGCTAGTTTTCAGAGGGTATTCAAAGATAGAGACTGTGGATAGATAATTTGCATCACTCTTCAATATGTTTCAGCCATTCTTCTTCCTTGTGATGTTGGTTCTCTATACTCTGAGTTCGTTTGCGCCTGTAAACGGAATTCCAGTTCAAAAGCATCCAGCGAAAAGCTCGCTCACTGAAGAGTGCGAAAGCTTATCAGGACCTGAAGGCCCAAACGGAGCGTCCTCTCTGTTTCAAGACGCGGGTAGGAAAGTATAAAACTAACCTTAACCTTAACCTTAACCCTAACCCAAGGCGAGAAACATCAGCATAATTTTTTTTCTGAGATACTGGTTTTCAAAACGCTTTTCTTAGTGTGTCTTCGAATCAAAAAAGATCTGTTGGATGAAGATTACATGAGAGTATGATTACATCTTTTTCAAAGATATTTCCATTGGAATATGCACAACGTTATTTCAAGTCTGCTTATCCTGACTTGACCAAATTTTGCTCTCACTGAACAAAAAAGACTTAGAAACGGCTTTCAAACTCCATTTTCTGCTTCTTCATCTCTTTTAGCTCCCAATGCCCACAATGAATTCCACAAAATGGAATCCCAAAGTAAGATAGATGTATCACCACGAGGACTTCATCCTAAGAACGTGGAAGATATAGCTGATGAACATGCTTGCCGAAAAGTGGATAGGATGGTCAACGCTGCAGACGATAGCATCGTGCATCCTCGCCGCTTCAATGCTTATCAGTGCGTGGGGAAATGCAACATAAAACAACTTCAAAATGTCAACAACTATGCACGGGTGACCCTGAACATGAAGAATAAAGTAAATTCGACGGATGGCATGGCTGCCTGTTGTGTGCCGGTCAAATTGCGGCCAATCCGTATATTGTATTTTGAAAAGGAAACCTTAGAAATACGTTCCCTTGATAATATGATTGTCGAAGAATGCGGGTGTTACCAAATATTCCAATAGGGCAGACACGACAACATTTTTAGCTTGTTGAAGGCAGACCTTAAATAATGAACAGCTTTAATCTAGATAAAAGCATCATTGTGTCGTTAAGTTAAGTAGTTTAAATCTGACAAAGGAACGATATTAATCGCTATTGAAATTTCTCATTCATCGTGATGTTGTGAAATCCAAAGAAGTCCACCTATGCTTTTTTATTTTTAGTTAGGCGCTACATCCTTTGAGTAAATGACTTTTTTTCTAACATACAAATGACAGAGGAAAGGCTGAGTTCTTTCCAAGGTTTATTAAATGAACTTTCTGATCATTGAGTCATGCATGCCTTTATTTTTAAACGCTTAATGAGAGTAAGGTTATAACCGACATTAAGCCTCTATCCTGCAAAATGTTGCCTCACGGAAAAGTCCTCGGAGATTGTATGAATGTTTGTGTGCCATAGTTTACAACATTTGCCATGTTTACTTACTGTTCTTTCTATTGTGACTTGTATTTTTAAGCATTGATTTCGTATTTTATGCGGAGCCTATATAAGGGATTTGAATACTTACTGGAGTATACATAAATCTCTCCTGATTTAAAATATTTTGATCTACGATGCACAAGAAAGGGTCAAGAAACAGAAAATGAAAAAATTTAAACGAAAATGAAGAAAATACCGGAGCCGAAATGGATGCTTCGGGACTTGATGGATTTTTGATCAGTGAGGGACTGTTCGACGGATTTTTGGTTGTATCACGCTAAACTTAACCTGATTTCCTCCCCTCTCTCTCAATAGGAGATAATCGGCAATAAATTTTCTATGGTGCCCCCTTTATATTCTGTAGGCGACGACTATCGTCCCCTCCATTCCCCCCAACCCCCCACCCACCCCCCCGAAAATCTTGTGATCCTCCCCCACTTAACTGAATTTTAAAAAAATTTATGACTGTATTGCTTTAGGGTTAGCGTAAGGGTTAGCGTTAGGGTTAGGATTAGGGTCTATGCATTCATGTTGAACATCGAACTTTTGTTTTCTTTTGTTTTATTTATTCATCAATTTTTCTACCTTTTCTTTTGTTGTTTTTTCCCTTATGGTCTAAGTCTTTTATTTGCGTCGGCGCTTGCTGGAAATAGCAGTAAGTTTGACAAAAGTATCTCCGTCTTCTCTGGCAAGTTGTACTTCTCAACCCTTCCTTTCTCATACCCCTCTCCCAAGATTTTTTAACTCTTTAACTCCCAGTAGTGATAAACATGAAATTTCTCCCAATAATATCAATACATTATTCGGCAAACAGGTAATGAGTATATTCAAAATTGTCGGGTTGAAGCTGCTATCTTGATCCAGCATCTAGTTCTCATTACTAATTTACAAGGAGATGTGTAGTAGCTAAAGGGGAGAATTAACAGTCAGTGCTCCTCTTCAACCTAGGCAAAAAATCCCGAATGGCACCATTCTATCTGTGTTCGGTTTGGTTCTTCAACTTCACAATATACCCCCACTATTTGAAACGGCTGGCATTGGAAATGCCAGCTTCAAAACGAGAATTGGCGAATACGCTTCAGTGAAATCCTGCAAAAATGTACAGGTACGTAAACGAAAGTGTTCGAAATCTTTTAAAGACCCGCTCAAACTCATAATTTCTGGAGTCTCTCATCACTCTTAATTCAATCTAAGTTCATATTTGTCGCAGCCTCACTCACACAATAAGTCTTAAAGAAGTAAGTCCAAAAAGTCACTGAGCTTAATTCGCTGATGATGTTCTGCTCTAGAGAACTGGTTATAATTGTGCTCCGTTGGGGCTTGGAGGCTTGGAATCCTAGTGGTAAAGACCGATGATTGAACAGAAGGAAGCCTCACGCAGTCTTTTTTATTGAGCCCTCGCGTCGGGGCATAGTTAGAATCTTTTTTTTCAAATTTCTCTCCCGTGGTTTTTGTCTCAGTAGTGTGCGCCGTTGTCAAAAATGTTTTGGTGGTCGTGCCAAAACATTGATGAACGTCTTATTTCAAAAACTTTCAATTTTCGGGGGACAGTATTCATAAGTTTCTGTGAAAGCCTTGATGGTTGGTCTCAAATTCTGTTGTTATTCCTATTTTTTCTTGACGAAAGAAATTCTACAAAGTTCTTAGACTGACAATTAGAGCTAATGAGTTTCATATTTTGTCGTCATTTCATTTTTTTTTGACACCAGCTATGTCCCGAGTGATTTACAGGCACTACAAGAATTTAGGAGAAAGAAGCAAGATTGGGAAACATTTCTCAAAAGTTTTTCATATAAGTTCGGAGATTTCACCGGTGTTACACCTACTAACAACGATGGTGAAAGTGGTGATGGTGAAATCTCTCATTGTTGAACAGCCGAGTAGTTTTCTTCGAAAAATATTTGCGCCGCACAGTTTCAGAGAGACCAGTTTAGCGCGAGAGCAATCAAGTATTTTCTTGCTATTGTCTTTTCATAATAGCTTATTATTGGAGGCTTTGTTTGTGGGATATGTATGCATTTTTGGAGTTCCGTTAAAAAGTCATTAATCATAAAGCTTTGTCTCTAAAGGGCAGAGGGCTGTTTTTGTTAAGTATTTGTAGGAAAAAAACTTGCAGCAACTGCTTTCAGCAGACACTTGGTTTGTTTAAAGAATTGTTTGGTTACAGCTGAGAGATATGGCCTCGAAGAACAGGTAAAGTATGTTTAATTATACCGCTTGAGTGTGAGAGCAATCTTACTTTGATGATGACATGTGGAACTGATATGTGCGATCCACAATCGCTTCGTTTGGTCATGATAATAGTCTTGTAAAGGTATATCACTTCACAAAGTTCCCGGAGCTGCAAACCTATTTTGAATGGGACACTCTCATTCATAGAAACTGTTTGTAGAAGCCTTGAATAAATTTTGAAATCGAAATTGGCAAACTGTTAAGCAAATATGCGTTATGTAATTACTTTAAACTAGCAGGATCTGTGATCATTTCTGGTTTCGAATAATCATAAAATAAGAACGTTGGGTTTAGAACTGATGTTAGACCTCTATTTCAGCCATTTCTGTTTGATTAGATAAAACTGTGTGTACCTTTCGATGTTTGTTGTTAATCATTCAATTAAACAAAACGCTTGGCAAACAGGCTTGTCAACCAACTGATTAGACACCAAAGTATGAGCGTTTAGTCACGGACTAGTAACAGAGGCTGTCGTTTAAACATCGAGAAATAAACTGGCACGTTGGTAAGCCTTACTGAGTCTAGATGAAAGTACAAAGGTTCATCGAAAAAACCCGGCTCCCCTTGAATTTCACACTTACTCTACACTCTATTACGTTCGGTTGCGTACTTCAAAAGGTTGACTAAAGGAAATCTGACGTTTTCCAGAGGTTTGTAACACGTTTAAGCAAAGCCTTTCAGCTGTTTGCACAATAGTCTGGACCGCTGGCTAATTGCTTCGGCTCTGAGCAGAGATTGCACGCTTATCTTTTTTTACTTCGATACCCTATCGAGGAAGCAAAATCACATCAATTTATCTTCTTCTTTGGCAGCAAAAGGGGCTGAAAAACTATTTACTGGTTGTTAGCGACGCCCTCCCAAGCACATGATGAAGCTCATGCTTTTCTTGAAAGTTCTCATGGAGCTGGAGGAATCTAGACTCGCGTCAAACGCAAAAGCTTAATTTTTTTTTGCCTCGAGAAACGTAATATTGAGCTTGATATACGCATCGACAACTTGGAATAATATAATTAGCAAACCATAAAATTAACATTGTGCTTAACATTTCAACCATAGTTGACCTCATGCACCGCTAAGCTCTTGGATTAGCTTTCCTTTCGCTGGACTTTCGTTGAACTTTTTATGAAAAGTGCTCTGACTCTGAGGAAACAAATCTTTTCTTTTCATTATCCGATGAGTTTTGGCTAACCTTCATGAATTAATGCAATTTAAAATCATTTACGTTATCTCTCATATCCAGAAAGACAAGAGATATTCCTGCAATAGAGGGCTCCCTTCTTGAAAAGCACATTAACTCTCCCTCTTCCTAAAGAATTGTGGGATCCTGGGCCCACATTGGTTTAATTGAAATATCTCGAGAAAAAAAGGTGTTGTTTACCTGTAAAGCGGAAGGCTCATTCAATCGCCTTTAATTTGATTTTATACAAAACTAGATCAGATCTTTTCTTTTTAGTTTTATCATACGACACCTTCTTTTTTTTGGGAGTGGGGAGGCACATTTATAACTGAAATAAATTTTCCTTATCACTTCTTACCGCCTTCAAAGACCTTACCATCTAATTCTATTTTTCTCTAATTTTTCTTCGTTGTTGACGGGAATTTCTGAATGCATGACGTCATAAGGCAAATTACTTGAATTCACCTGTTACCAAGTTTGTTCAGATCAAAACGCTTCCTTTTACGGAATCCCGCAACAAGCACTTATTTTAAATGAACGCAGATTTTATTTTGTTGTTTTCCTTTTTTTTTCGTTTTACACCTTGCTTCAAATGACCGTGGATTTTTTTGTCTTTCCTTTTTGTGATTTTTACGACTTTAAAAGAAATAATGATTCATACAGAACATATTGTGGCAAAGTTACAATTAACATTGGCTGCTTTTGATGCATATGGTTATCAAAGATTATTACATCGAGAGAAAACATTTACAACTGCATTACCTAAAATTGGCTACACGCTCAAGCTTGATTTACTTCTGATTATAAAATCCTAGCTACACTTACAATGAAGACAGGAAATGGGACCCGCGAAATTGACTACAACTGGACACAAACATAGTCTAAAATACATATAAGTGAAAGGAAAGTTATTATAAAGTGGGCATCTTGGTGGAATGTTCCTTTTACTACAATCTTATTTTAAACTACTAAGTTTTTCCTTTATTTTGTAGTCTATTTATGATTTATGGTTTCTTTCGTCGGACCAAATTCTAACTGAGTTGATCTCTCCATATCTAGCCGTGATAACAAGCAGGTTTACGAGGATCTAAAAGAACAGTTATCCAAGCTGAGCCGTTCGTTGAAGGTCTTAGAAACTAGGGCACTAAAACATAACTTCTCGACGAGCGAACTTACTTCAAAAGTAAGTCAAAGCATTTTCAAGATACGTGTAATATAATTTGGCTTTATCAGCTGAGTTTTGTTTTGCTCTGTCTAAGGGTTAGGGCTTGAAACATCAGCTTTCAATAATCTTGTCGTACCACCCATTGAAACAGCAGCACAGTTTCTCGAGAAACTTGACCCCTTTATTCAATGTATTTACACTCTTGAAATACGTATTAGTTGAGTCCACCTTTTATGACATCTTTATTTGATTTATTCTTATCTGTATCCGTTTTTTACGGCGTATATGCCCTTAGGTTTTATACTTTCAGTATAAATATACGACCACACATGAAGACAAGTGATTGAATGCACTGATTAAAGCTTACCTTAAATGTTATAGGGCCGCAAAACTTCTTCAGTCAAGTTACTGAAAACTGCTAAAGAGAGCGATGTCCGTCCTCTGAATAAAAATGTCCTTGATGGGCTGGCAAAACTTGTGAGGTAATATTTTATTTCACGATGAAGTACGTGTTAAACCATCACGATTATGAAAGAAAATAAAGTGTTTACAGAGATTTTGTTAGAACTTACAATGATTAAGCACTGACTCTGTTTGGAGGAAGCATCAAAATGGCAAATAGCAAATAACGATGCTGATTAATAATACAGTGTCGTAATATTTACTCATGGGCATGTCTCTCTGTTACAGTGCTCTGGATACACTCACTGAAATCCGGAAGCAGAGAAACTCTAAAGAGTCTAAAATTCATGGCGCGGCGGTTGGAAGAAGAAGGAAATCCAAAAGATCCATAAACTTTGAAACAATAGAGAATGACATTACAAATTACAAGGTATCAGTTATCAACTGTTATTAGCCATCTTCATTATCCAGATTTCTACTGCGTAGAGGTCTGGATTGCAAAGGTGAAACGAAGAAACTTTTATTTGAAATTTGAATAAAGGGTGGATAAAAAGTGAAGAAAGGTGCGTGGATAGGATCCTTTGGAAAGCTTGTTTATCATAATTATTTTGAGTTAGACTGGAATTCTCGTAGTTCTTATGGTTCTTGAATGGTGATGTTCTCGTAAAAACATTACAGTAGATCTGTGAATAGAGCAAGTCCATCAATTTTTATCATAGAAGAATATTGTTTGTGGTTATTCAAGTTCTATCAAGTGATATTTTTCTCTTTATTCGCAGATTTTAATCAGCGATATATCTGCTGAAGCAGAAACAGTTGATCAGGTGACCAAATCTGGAAAAATAAGCCTGGAGGAAGGTAAAATAACCAAAAGCAAAGAGGAAAAGATGAGACAGGAAATTGCAGCAATAAGCAGTCGGTGGAATGTACTTTGCAAAGACGCCGTCGACAAGTGCAACAGGTAAAAAGACCCTGGCCGCTAATCACACAGTCATGCCAATTTACTGTTGATAGTTAATATATCTGATGTTGGAATAAACATGTCTTTAAATAACCTTCATTCGGCACATCACGCATAATGTATAATGTTTTAGCTCATCAAAGAGCCATCACAATCAACTCTAATCTGAATTTTCTTCAAGGTATACCGGAGATCTTTATCGAATCCAGATATTTTTTTCACTCGACCTCTCACCTCTTTGAGTTTATGAAAGTATCCTAAATGGGGTCAAACACCACCTTTTCTATTAATTATTTCAGCATCGAAGCGTTCGTTTTGGAAATGCAAACTGAATATTCCAAGTTAGATTTGTGGATGAACAATGCTGAAATAGCGGATTCATTGCTAATGGAATACGACCCATATGCAGATCACCCGGAAAAGTTGGGAACCACGATTACAGCTGTGAGATTACAGCTTCATGAAAACCAGGTTCGCATCAGTGTATATATAGACATGAGTGTACACTCGTCATGTTTCAACTTCTATGGATGATACCACAACACTTTGTTTGGGTTTGTTCTGCCATTTTGTCGTTGTCTTTGCTCCTCTTTTACCCTTTAAATAAGTATCCAGCACATGCCTAAGTTAGGATTGTTAGGGCCAGAGCCTTTCTAAGACATCCTAAATTAGCTATTTGCACCGGCGGCTTGAAGGTGAGATTTTGACAACATTTTAGTTAAAGGTTAAAAGCCAGTTAGCAGACGGATGAGAAAGAAAAAGAGGAATAAACAGAAACAACAACAACTACAAGTGTACAGATTTAGAATAATCGATGGTTGATGAAAGTGATTTTCTTGGAAATCATGTAATGCCTCTTCCTGCTTTCGAATCTTGAAAATGATAATAATAATAATAATAATGATAATGATAATAAAATAATAATAATGATGATGATAATAAATAATAATAATGATAATAAATAATAATAATGATAATAAATAATAATAATGATAATAAATAATAATAATGATAATAAATAATAATAATGATAATAAATAATAATAATGATAATAAATAATAATAATGATAATAAATAATAATAATGATAATAAATAATAATAATGATAATAAATAATAATAATGATAATAATAATAATAAAACGGGTTTTACCACACAAATGTTGGGAACAATTAATTGTCTGCAATGGCCCAAACCTGAACTTAATAAGTGCCTTTGATTTTTTTTCTATCCAAAGAAAGTCCTAGAGAACTTTAGGAAGTCCAAGCCTAGACTGCATAACATGAACGACATAGCCGCTACACTCATGAAGAGTGGACGACTCGACGAGGAAGATACTGACGAATTGGAACGTGTTATCAATGTTATCGTTGCAAAATGGGAATCGATCGATAATCGGCTGAATGCAAGTCGAGACAGGTGATATATGAAAGGAATTAGTTTGAGGATTTGATATAAATGGGTTGTAGCCGTAAACATAACTGCATTTAAAAAAACATTTACATCCAAAATTATACTGTGAGACATCTTTAAGAAACTAAGCGAAAGGCAAAATCTGTCATTCCTTCTCTTTATAGGATTTACGCTGAGATCAACAAGTTAAGACAAAGGCTCGTAAAGCAGAGGCAGTCGATTATTCGAAGGTTTAGCTCACGGAGAAATTCATCGTTTCGAAGGAAAAGATCCATGCGGAAAAAACGCGAGGCGCAGCAGAAAAAAGAAGTCGAGACAAAGGTATTCCTGCAAATTTGTAAAGCCATTCCTCTAAAAAACGGTCACTCGCTGTTGACGAAGGAATGTGAAGGGAAGAAAAGGCGTGAAATAAGCATTTCTCTGAAAGAGGAAACCATTTTCAATCATTCTCTTTTGTCGAAGAAAAAGTTCGAGGTCAACTTTGGTAGATGTGTATCAAAAACTTGCCTAAGTGAAATTTTAACCAATTTTTGTCACTATCTTGCAGGATCAGGATGCTAATGAAAGAAAAATTGATATCTCTATGAAGGAAACTGTTACCAAACGAACATCACTGGATTTGACTGTTTCATCAGACCAGGTAAGCATTGTTAGATTGTTGGTTTTATCTAAGAACTGAAGAGAAAAACGCTCCAAAACGGAAGCCATCTTTTCACCACACTCCCGTTAGTAACTGGAATTTAACTTCTCGTAGCATTGTCAGTACATTATTTAACGTGCAGGTGATTGCAACTTTCCAAAATGAGTCAAATAGATTTTGATCCAAATTACTTCTGATAAGTTAAATGAAAAAATGTAGGTCTGTAAGGAAGAATCACAGATATATAAGATAATGGAGGTATAAGGGCCAAGCAAACTTTTAAATTGGCTATAGATCTGCATCAGTGTCAGTGTACAGGGTAACAGATTTTTCGGAGTACTTTTCTTCGCAATGATCTCTTCGCCAAGTAAATCTAAGGAAATAAGTCAATAATAACTTCTACCTCGACTAGAAGACCAAAAATAAGCAATTTCTAAAATATAATTCATACAGAACTCTCCCAGTCAATTCTGTCATCATTTTATTTATGCATCAGAATTCAAAAGTTGATGAAAGGATCCGTGTTTTATCCAAGAAAGAGATTGTTACCAGTTCAGCCGCCGTGGATTTGAATGCTTCCCTGGACCCTGTGCACGTTGTTGTGAAAATAGACAACGATTCTGACGAGGAAAGTCTCAGGTAAAGTTCTGCAGTTATTTGAGAGCCATTGAAAGAGTAAATTAATCTTGATCGATGATGGTTAGACCTTTTGGCAAGATATCATCAAGCATTTTCCTAATGCAATCGCTTTGATTGTTAACGTCGTCTCTCTAGTATTCTCCGTTTAATATTCATTTCTTTTCATTTCTGTGGGGCAACAAAACGATGGAGGAAAAAGAAAACTGTGTTCCCTTGAGTCTCCTAAAGTGAGTGACATCTTGCGGGCACTTGAATGAGACCATTTTGAAAAAAAAATTCCTCAGTAGATTTGTCCTGGAGAAATAAGAGTAAATAGAAAGAGAACAAGGACAGGAGGGGAAGGAGGGGTCAACATAAAGTGCAATTGAAAAACTTATAGCCTCGGAGAAAAGTTAAGGATACGTAAGCCGTTCGGATTTATTTTAAGTTCACAATCACGGTGGCACATATAAGAGTTCTACCTGATCTTTGATAGCCTTCGCTTAATCTTCCAAGCTTTATTAGCCTTACTTTCAACCTACTATGTAACTCATGTCATCATATTTACCATGCATGTATCGGCTATTGCAAGAAGAATACCGTTTGATTTCACCACTAGGTTGGAGAAACAGTCCAATGCTTTTAAATCCTTTGACTCATCCCTTAAGTATTGCGAAAGGAATGAGCAAAGTCTTGAGGAGGAGTCGCTTCAGAAATTTTCAGTTCCAGAGACTAGAAGGAAGGAGTTGGAAAAACAGTTGAACGATATTACGGTAAGTGGAGAGAATGCAGGCATCTACAGTGCATATCTCAAGCGTCTACATTGATGCTTAAGCACGTGGAATGTTTCGTCAGACTTGTTCTTGACACTATTTTTGACTCTCTTATATTGTCGTGACATTAGAAAAATCAACTTTCGTTCTTAAGAATTGTTTTTGAAGATCTCTGTATACTTCAAGGCGGTTCGCCTCTTTTTTCAACTTTATCTCGGTATGGAGGACAGTACCCTCCCTTCTCACGATATACGTTTTCTGCCATACTCGTAACACTGAAACTCGCCAACATTATTATCCAACCCCGGACGGAAATACTGTGGATCTATAAAAACTTTTATTCGGAGGGTATACTTTGCCTTTAGACAGCTTAGGAGTGGCCAGAGCAATTTTGGTTCCTTTTTGCAAAACACTTACTACGAATTCAAATGTTCACAGGAAAGAGAATTGGCGTAAATCCAGCATACTTTTCAGGCGTTTATTTCGTTTCTTCTTGCCGAAACGTTTTCAAAATTAAAAGATTATTTGCATTTTTCAGAGATTTGAGAGGGATGTCGAGAAATCAAGATCTGAGTTTCATTCACAAGTAGATAAGTTTGAAAAGGCTAAAGAGGAAGACTTCTTCAATGATACTGACACTGAAATCCTGGGCAAGAGAGTGGAGGATCTGAAGAACCGCTGGGATCAATTGTGGGGGGAACACATCAATAATAAGAATCGGTAGGAGATTCACTATTTTGTAAGATATTAAAAGCATTGAGTAGTGAATTAGGATAATAAATTAAAACAAAACGGTTAACCCTCTCGAATTTTTTCAACTCCATGCTTTCTACCTTCTCTCCCTGAAATAATGTCTCACTTACCTCGCTTGTTGCCATAGAGGTTTGGTAGAAGAGTGAATGGATGCCTGTAGAGCTGTATTCGTGATTTTGAAATTGTGGATGAGTCATAATAGGTGTTTATTTTTGGAGCGCGATCCATGTGGAGAATTTGAGAGGTTATGACATCACTTCCTTTATACCCATTATTTGCATGAGGTAAAGGTAGTTTCCTTGTTGTCTTTCTATTTTTAAACGCTGCGTAATCCTATGTGTGTGTTGATGAAAATTGATTACAAACTTGTAATCACAGAGTTCGAGGTCTGCACCGAAAGTTTTTCTTCCTCCATCTAAGCCCTAAGCAACAAATTTTAGCATGCGTTGTAACTGAGAAATATGATTTTAAATTGTTTTATTTTGTCATCACTGCATGTAGCATTATTAAAGCCACTCTGGACCTTAACGAAAAGTCCTTACTGAAGATGAGCAAGGAGTTTAACGATATCGAGAGGCAGATAAATAGACCTGAAATGTACGAAGATGAGCGGCTTTCGCTTGAAGAAAACATCCTCAAACAGAAGGTAGGAGCTACATAATGAGTCGACTATCAATTATGAGTCTGCTATCAAGATTCTACCAAAATTAGTTATTAGTTATTGTGTGGCACTAATAAGGCAAAAGTTGGCGGTAATCCTTACATATGCGCTTTGTGTCCACATTACTTGTTCTGCAAGTTATTTTACCACAAAAAGGGGTAAAAACTTGGGTTTCTAATATGTTTTTGCCTGGCCGCAATGCAAGTCTCATGTTAGGTTATAGTTCGTAAAGCACTGTACCGTGATCCAGAAATTCACTCAAAGGATACGAATCCTTTTAAGGCCTTTATCCTTGATTATTGATTACTTTAAAGAAGTTACATTTATATTACGTTTGTTTTTTAAAATCATTAACTTGTCTAGAAGCTAGAGGAGTATATTTTCTGTTCAACCAAAATGGAATAGAGAACTTTCATGGATATAGAAAATCAACATCTTAAGTACTAGAAGTAATTCAGATGTAGCATCTCCTTGAAATCTTATTATTAAATCATGGATGTGACACCAAATCCGTCGTAATGAATTATGGGAAACGCAACGTGACTAGAAAGAGAAAAGATGATTCGTGTTATGGCAGTGAAAGGTTTCACAAGAAAGTATACCACTACCTGAGATTTTCCTTGAGTTTTTGAAGAATCCCAAACCGGGGGTACATTACTGTCTCGTAAGGAATCCTTTACCTAGAGTTTCTCATATTCTGCGATCGTTAATTCACGTCTGTTATCGCTTCATTGAGAGAATTCTTGTGACTATCATTAAGATCCTACCATTTATCGGTGATCTAAAGGATATTTGTTTTCCAACTTCAATCTCTCTTTGTTATTCTATTCACTCAGCGGCTGATGGATGACATAGGATCATATGACAGTGAAATCATCGAGGTGAATGTTTCAGCGCGTAGCCTACTGGAGAGAGGTTCTATCGAGAAAGGAAAATTTGAAGAAGTTCACAAGGAAACAGATTCTCTTAGAGAAAAACAGAAACAACTAAAGAAAATGTGCAGAGAGAATGGAGATAGGTAAAGCGTGATGTTATTGAAAATTATGAATGCCAGCTTAGGAGGAGCTGACCAATAAATAATTGAAATGTATAATAATCATCCTTTTTTGTTTATAAGAGAACTCTCTTTCGCAAGGACTTCTACAACTACGTATTTATATATTTACATATTAATACTGTTAGATTGTTCGTAGTTACTACCGGTGTTCGTGCCTATCTCTTTTTCTCTTCCCGTTACACTAACAGCATTTTTGTGAGATATTCTGCCCCCTGCAGGCGAATGTAATTTGTTCCCTGCAGGTTACTTTTATCAGAAAGAGTCTCATAATACTAGATTTTTTCTTCTCTAGACTGGCAACGGATCTTCTTGATTTTAATCAGCGGAACAATAAATCTCCTGTAGCAGTGGAAGAAGAAACAATTCAGATCAGCGATGATTACAGCATGCTTGCTGCATCTCTTGATGACTTACTCGCAGATGATATTTCAGACGAGGGATTCGCGGAACTGGACTCCCCTAGGGTAACGAGTTAATCAAATCGTAAATTATCCCTTGAGATCTATCCTTTTAAAAAAGTTCAAAACAGACTACTTTTCCTGTGATCCAGGGTTTAACTGTATTGTGTTCGTGTCTGTTTTCAACCTTGGACTTGTTGCCAAATGCCTTAAAACTAACCTAGAGTGCTGGCTTAGCTCACGGGAGGCGGTCAAGCAAGCATGTTTGTCTTAATTGACTAATATTTTCCTTTAGCTCGCGATTAAAGTGCATTCTGATAGGTGTATGTATATATATATATATATATATATATATATATATATATATATGCCCAATATATATATATATATATATATACATAAAGATATATATATATATATATATACATAAAGATATATATATATATATTCTCCTCGATTACTCAATGCATGCATACACAGGCATATATTTATGCCTTAAGTTCTCATCGGTTGCTTTTAATGCGTAATTCAATTAGAACCATGAGGAAAAATATTTGATATAAACATTACCATCGAACTGTGGAAAAGATTCAGAAAAGCTTTCTATTTAAGGGAAACGCAAAATTTAAATGGAAATCTACCTTCTCAAACGCTTTGCTGGAACACTCACTGCTTCCTCTGCCATTCTTCATTTTGGTCTTGGAAACACCGATCACAAACCAAACTGGTGATTGATTGAAAGGGAGAGTCAGAGGGGCAATAGAACGCCATAAAGGGTATTTTAAAGGATTGTCGACTATTTATATTCGGGATTGTAGCTTGTCAGTCTTTGACTTATCTTTGAATTTAGCTCCGATAAATTCATGTTTCTTTCTTTTTTGTATGTTTACTTTTTTCTCAATTTTTTGTTGCTGTTGTTTTCCAGATACGATGTAGAGACATCGAAAAAAAGGAGGCTAAGGTGAAATACATAAATAAACTTGGCCAAGAGATAACTGCTGAGTCCCTTGACACGACTCTTACCGATGGTGTTGAGGAGAAGCTTGTAACACTGAACAAAAAATGGCGGGACACAAGGGAGATCTTTAGTGACTACCATGACAAGGATGAAGACGAACACTCAGAATTTGGAAGTTGCTGTTGTTTTCAAATGATAAAGAAAGCGTTTCAGGCGTGTTTCTATAGTTGAATGGGATTTGTCAGGAAACATATCTCTTAAATAGAGATGAATTATGCCTCTTGTTGTGTAATTATCACGTCGTCACCGCAGCCTCACCCTACAATTGTAACCATACTTGCATCTATATACCTTAATGGACAGGATGTCAATTTGAGTAAATAGAAGAGGACAGATTTAAAATTGTAAACCCAGTAGTTGATCAAGAAAGGTGTCGTTAGTCTTTCAGTTAGAGTTGGGGCAAGGAAAAGTTGAGTCCTCATGACGAATCGTAATCAAGACTTGGGATTTCGCGCTCTCACTGAACAGAGAACGATACAGTGAGTAAGACCATTGCTATTTTCTTATTTGACGTACTTCCTGCGCAATTCAAGGATCAGCGGTGTCGAAAGCGCCATGTAAGTGAATAGAAAAACAACAAGTTTTGACTGAGTTCGATAGTGGTCTTTGGTATGTCGGTTTATTGGTGCTGTTTCATCTATGAATTACTCGCTTTCTTTTAAAATTTTTATATCCCACAGTCCCATATTTCCTTGCCTTGTCAATAATTATTGTAGAGTCGCTGTAATGTGAAAGCGGAGGATACGGAGGGCACACAGCAACGAAAGAAAGCAACTCGACTTTTTCTAGGCCTCTCTCAAGGCATCGTCAATGGATTTTTACCTTGAAATAAAGTTTCGAACTATGTTTTCCAGCTACGCAATAACGACCGAGATACCAACGGGAAAGACCCATCTCTCCGTTGTACTAAATGAGCATCATTGAGTAACCTCTTTTACTTCGTTATATAACCGCTAGGAAGTAAGCTCTGTCTACTATACAGGGCTCTTTAAGGGCTGGCGTGCAAGAACCGCAGGCTCTGTAATGCATATTGATTGACTGACCACATATATTTCAACGCAAAGTTTATTACTAAGTAACTACCCTAATCTTTGCCACCCATAGCGACGCGCTTGTTATCCCAGTCATTGATCTGTAGTGTCTTAAACATAAAGTGAGCGACATCAGCCCGTGAAACTATCAAGCCTGACCTTGTTACAGGCATTCCTTCGGCTACCACGTAATCAGTTCCGGTAAAAGGACCTAAAGAACAAAAATTAAATTTGTCTTTAATCTAAGAGTTTTGATTAGAGTGTAATCTTTGCTAAAATGGACATTTTGACCATAACTAACTTTCCTCAGTGAAAGAAGTAGATGATAAACACTTTTGTCGTTAAAGAGTTTATTAAGGATTTCATGCCGTTAGGACAGTAGTTTGGCCATCCTAGAGACAACCATTGAGAGATGGCCGTTCGCTCAAAGGTTGAATGCATTCATTAATTCGCCTAACATAAACTTTTCAGGCTTGACCATATAGTTATTTCGTTTGGTTCGTATAGTTATTTCGTTCTACATATATTGGACATATTGTAGTCTAAAGCACTGTAGATGTTGTGGTGATATCCTTGAGACTATGGTGATTGTTTGTAGTGGTTGAGAGCATAATCTCAGGAATGTTTTTGAAACATTTGTTGATCATGGCCTGAATGTACCTTTGATCAAGTTTGGAGGTCGCACAATAGTGTAACAGATATTAGACTTCATGACAATATTTTCCATCAGTATCATGTCGTTGATGCAGGCCCGAAGAAGTGGCCGTACAATCCAATCCATCCACCTAGGATTTGACGGATCCTTCTGAACGTAGATACTAGTCACACAAACCAGTCTACCAACACCTGTCCTTTTGCAATCAAAACAAATCAAAGCAATCAAAAAATATATTACAAGTGACGGGTTGATCTTCACATGTTTACTGCAATTAGGGTAATAGCGGGAAAAAAAAAGATTAGAAAAAGAGAGAGGAAAATAAAAGAAATAGTAAAAAAAGAAAGAAAGAAAGAAAGAAAGAAAGAAAAAGAAACAAACAGATAAAGCTGAAAATTTTAGACTTCGACGGGTACTGAACCTTTGCCTCCATAGTTCACGTTATGCTAGCGCTATAACTTATCAAGGGAGGCTTTATTCCCAAAATACGAGGTTATTTTTAGATCATCTCGGCTTTTTGAGATATCAGGATGGTCTAACCGACCACCTCGGCCTGTTAAGGAGCGTGATTTCGTGATGCGGCAAAATGGCGGGATTGTTTGGCCATATGGACATTCATACGTCGTCTGCTACATGTCTTTCCAAAACTCGATCGACGAGATTCCAGGGAGACCAGATACCTCGACAAAGTCCAAAAATAATTGGAGAAGAATGTTCTCTTTGCCTCTTAAATGAGGCTAATATAAGAGACGCAACCTCTTAGCTTGATTTATTTATGTTCAGTAAACCATCTCACCATACAGGTATAAAGAAACAAAAGACAAAAAAAATTCAAATCGATTACCTTTCCATTGCTGACGTTATGGACGTTATAGATTTGGAGTATAACATCGTTGGTGAGAAAAATGTTCCATTGTGAAAACCCAGGCATGAAAACACAGCACTCTTTCCGTCGATGATGGGTGCTATAGACTCTACATCAAAGACATCTATTTACTTACTTCAAGATTTTGATGTCTTTTAAATTAATGCAGAACACGACACGGTGAGAGCAATGGGTGATAATTTGGATCTGTTACATATGTCTTACTTTGAATTCGTTTAGCAGCGTCGTGCTTTAACTAACTTTGAAAAATTATATATTCGTTGTTTTAAAAGAGTGCGAGCCAAGAATAAATTAGCAAAGAATAACAGCCTAACATAGATCTCAACTTGAGCGCCCCAAAAAACATTTTTTTTCCCTTTTCTCGTCTTGCCTGCACGTGCTCCGAAATGTGATTTACAACTCCGTGGTAATAGTAGCTTTTGGAAGGCCTCTCTGTTGGTTCCAATCAATAATCGACAAAGATCGACAAAAGGTTGTTTACTTTACCGAGAAAATAAGAGAGTTTAAGAGATTAGATTATATGTAAATTGCCTTCTTGATTTCTAGTTTTGTTGCGTTGTCATATGTTTTCTGGGTCCGCTGCTACTCAGTCGATGATTTCGCACAGAAATACACATTAAGGCAGCGTTCTATCCGCTTTCCATTGAAAATATAACTGACGCATAATTTTACAATATACTTGCATGTGTTGTTTGCACAGAAACAGATACATTGCGCGTTTATCCAAGATGATGTCTTTAATTGTGCAAGTGAAGATTCGAAATTCGAAAAGATTCCGTTTCATTTTATTTGTTTGATTTTACTTTAAAATTTTCAATGGATAAGAGTCTAGAAAGAAACTTGCAAAGTCGCTTTGATTCGCAAAGGTAAGATTTAAAGACGACAACAACTAGCATAGGTAAGTCAAAATCCACTTACTCAATAGAGAAACTTTCCGGGGTTCTCACTAGAGCAGTAACAGCATGGCCTTTTGCCAGATTCTGCTGAACAACTTCAAGGCCCGTTGGTCCTGATGCACCAAATACTATTAGCTTAGGAAACAGTAACTGAGGACCACTCGCCATGGATCGACCTGTAGACTGTATCCAGTGGTTGGTGTTTCGTGACTTGATTGATGGAGCGTGACTTTCCGATGCAAACATATTCATACACTTACATGTAAATTGCTGAGCCATGGCTACTGCCGCAGAGTTACTCTTTCCAAAGCTAGTAGTCTTTGGTGCCACAGGACCAACAGGCCTTGCAGTTGTTCAGCAAGCTCTGGAAAAAGGCCATGCCGTCACCGCCGTAGCAAGAAACCCCGAATCCTTTCCCATAAAGTAGGTGATTTTCATAGCTATGGTTGCTGATGTCTGTTGTCTTTAAATCTCGAGCTTGTGAGCCGAAACAATCTTTGCTTGTCTCGTTCAATACTTACACGGGTCGAGGTTATTTTTAAGGCAAACAAAAATCGTTCGGTTTCATTGCAATGTTTTAAGACATCACAATTAGCAAACTGAGCGTATTTGATACGAATACATGTCTCTCCTTTACACTAATATCAGAACTTGGCGAGTGGAACTAATTCAGTTTGTCCCATTAAGATTGCTGTTTGTCATACATAGTGTATGTGAAAGATTCTGTGATGTTTATTCTTACACAAAATCAGTAAGATGGCAGTAAATCGGGAGAAAATTTGGCAAAGCAACAATAATGGCGATCGAAGAATAGGAATACACGCAACCTAATTTGCATAATTATATTCTTTTCACCTGCATCACTCTTGACTGCGTTTAAGCAAATTGCCATCGGTCTTGGTCAAACATAAATTGAGGGCTAGAAGAGAAGCTCAGTTAGTTTTTAAACCATCAATCTTTAAAGCAAGATCTTGTAAATTTACCAAAGTACAAGCTGATTTAAGTTATTTTTAAAAGACTGGTGGGTGTCACGACTTCTACAACCCTGATTAGTCAGTCACGCATGTTATTTGGGCTTCTAATTAAAAATGAGTTACGTTTCAGTCAGTGAGTTTTGTATCGCGAAGAGCGCTGCCACGCAGAGTCAAGGTAAGTATAATTAAAAAACCAGATAACCTGCAAGTTTTCCCGGAAATAATTTTTGGATTTTTCGCCTCAGACAAGAAAACCTCGAAGTGGTCAAAGGAGATATCTTTGATGTAGAGTCTCTGGTTCCCATCATCGAAGGAAAAAATGCTGTGCTGTCATGTCTGGGTTTTCACAAAGGAACAATTTTCTCGCCGACAACGCTATACTCAAAATCAATAACTCCTATCACATCAGCAATGGAAAGGTAATCGAGTTTTTATATAACGTGAAACACCTGCAGACAGAGAAATACAGTGAGCATTAAATATTTACAAAGATTTTACAAAGGATAGAGCTGAGAGACTGAAACCCCTTGAAAAGGCCTCATTGGACACATTGTCTTCCTCAAGTCATATTCAGACTCAATAATCCGGTTTCCCTAAGATGTGACCAATGCCCCGCATTTTGCTGGTATACTTTAACAAAGAATGTGGGACTGTTAACCCTCAAAGTGCCTAGTCCCCCTAGGAGTATAAATGGAACTGGCGAATTGCTCAGGGAAGCCTGATAGCTTAGGGGTAACCTTGCGATGGACTAAAATTTTATGGGGAAGGGGTGGAGTAGTGATACTCTTAGTCGCTTCATGGTATGGTAATTGAATAAGCTACGGCTACGTGGGTCACTCGAGTATAGATTTAAATTCTGGCAAAGAACAAATAGAGAAGAGAACAAAAGTCCTCATGATCTCTAAAG